TAACAAAATTTTATTTCTATTATTGTCAAAATCTAAAAGTATAAACATTCTTCCTTTTATGTATAATGTTTATTTCAAAATTTTAATAATGAAATATATATATATATATATATATATATATTTATATATAGTTGAAGAGTACTCGCGCAATACAAAGAGATACAACTCGATTTCATTGTTTCATTTAATTTTTTTGATCTCTGTCGATGTTATAATACAAATTTATGTGGTTTTGAGCAAGTAATAATTTTTTCTTAATAAAATATAAATTTGGAGATATCATAAAAATAAAAAATATATAAAAGTTCTCATTCTTTTAGTATAATTTCTTTAATTAATAATATTAATATATGCTTAATTTATTTAATATTTTAGCAAATTTTTATTTCTATTGTTGTCAAAATCTAAAATTATAAAAATTCTTCCTTTTATGTATAATGTTTTTTTAAAATATATATAATATTTATATAAGATAAATACAAAAAATAAACTCACACATCCTTTGCACTTTTGATGAGATTTGAACCTCTAACTTCTTAAGAGACCAAATACTACGATACTGCTAGGCCAAAAGCCCTCCAGATTGTATGTATAATGTTTAATTCAAACATTTAAAAATTTACAATTTTGTATTTTCTTCATCAATATAAGTGGTAAAATAAATAGGTAAAGAGAGAATAACATTTTAATGTGGGTTAAAATGGGTTGTGTCAGTCTATTAGATTGAATTAATGTACAAGGATTTAGATATATAGTCAACTTTTTTAAGGGATGTTTAGGATTGTTTATTTGAAATAATTTATGTTTTTTTTATAAAAGTCTTTATCAATTTATTATAAGTTAAAATGATTTAACTTCTTTAAAAACTTCTTATTATCGGTTTGGCACCGACATAAGCTGTTTATTCAAACATTCAAAAATGCTTATTACTGGTGTCATACCAAAATAAGTCAATAAATTATTTTTATAAGCAATCTAAACACACCCTAAATATAAGTGTTTAAAATCTTGTAAACATTAAACATACTTTTAAATGATTTATTTACTTTAATTTTATCTGTTTGAGCAAATAAATATGAGATATAACAAAAATGAATCATTTATAAATAAAACTCGTCTAATTTTTTTAAGTGTATAATATTTATATATGACAAATAAAACAAATAAACTTACACACCTTCCTTACCTTTGGTGAGATTTGAACCTCTCATCTGCTAACAAGCTAGGGCTCACATACTGCTAGAACAAATACACTTTAGTAAATTAAGTCGTCTAAATTACATTCTTTACTCGTATGTTTGTTTAAAAACATAAAACATAAACGGGTTTTTTCTGTCAAGTTTGTTTTTCCTCGTCAATTTGTTTAATTCACGATTAAATATATTATATAATTTATATACAACAAATGTAACAAATAAACTCACACATCTTTCTCATCATTGGTGAGGTTTAATCCCCGACCTCCTATGAAATAAGAGGCTCAGATAAACCGCTTTTTCTCTCTCACCATTTTTGCTTATTTCACGGTTAAAGATATAATACTTGTGGAAATGTTAATAGGAAAAGAGAGAAATTTTTTTTTCCCAGATTTGAGAAAGAAAAGTTATGTAGATTTGGTAGGTAAAAAAGGCATTTTTGGTGGATCTTTTGACATTAATGACGTCATAATTGCTATTATATAGAATTGAGGTTATATATAGCATAATATTTATATATAACCGAAGCATATGTGGACATGATGATTTGAGTGTAAAGATAAATGAAGATGGTTGGCAAAAACACAGAGAAGAAGACTAAGCAGCATTGGCCACTGAAGTGAAAAGAGTTGAAAGTCTAAAAACTGTTATTTTTCCTGATAACTTTGTCTCCATCTTCCCCAACCTTCAATCTCTTTCTCCAATGGCACTCACCATCAACCTCTCTCTCTCCATTTTTCTCCTCTTTACTTCTCTTGCCACCCTCATCACCTCCTCTCAAGGTTCTTTCTATCTCTCTCTCTCTCTCTCTCTCTCTCTATATATATATATGTATATATATATGCATGTGTTTCTCTTCTGAGATTATAGGAGGGTTTTTCCAGCAAAAGGTGATTTGGGTTGCTGTCTTTTCTCTCTCTATGTGTGTGTGTGTGTTTTCATATGGTGAGATTCTAGTTTTTTCCAGCAAATGGTGATTTGGGTTGCTGTCTTTATCTCTCTATGTGTGTTCATATGGTGAGATTCTAGGTTTTTCAAGCAAATGGTGATTTGGGTTGCTGTCTTTCTCTCTCTATGTGTGTGTAAGTGTGTGTGTGTTTTCATATGGTGAGATTCTAGGTTTTTCCAGCAAATGATGATATGAGTTATTATTTTTTGTAGTTTAATTTGTGGGTTTTTAGTTTTTCCCTTGTTTAATTTCTAGGTTTGTGGAAACATTCATGTTTTTGGCATAAAAGGATGGAAAAAGATTTCATAAATCTTGAATCCACTTCTAAAACATTGATATGGAGGTTATGTTTGGTCCAATCCACCACTAAATCATCAAACTGTTTGTGTAGATTGAAGAAGACGTCTATATTTAGCATTCTACGGCCTCTAAATAATGTCTATACTCGTTTTAAGGTTTTATACTTTAGTAAGATATATAGACCGATATTTTAGTGTCTTTTTCAAGGTGTGGATTAAAGATACGCTTATAATCGCAATAGATTTCTGGGTTTTGGCAGAAAAGATGATCGCTTTGAGAAAGATTAATGAATCTTGTTGCAAAGCAACTCATTTCAAGTGTTCAAAATAGAAAATTTCAAGAAAAAAATTGGTCAATTTAAAAAGGATTTCATGAATAATGTCACAAGAGACAAATTCATTTCTGGGTTCTTGTTTACACCTCATTTTATTACTGGGTCTATCAAAAATTCAAGCTTAGGAAAATCGAATTCCTCGAATCTAGCGACAAGGGCAAATTAGTAATTTCACTTTTACGATATGCAGGTAATTACAGATTGTGGCAAGATGAGTACCCATTCATCAGACGGGCGAGCTCTTTCTCATCATCATCATCTTCGACAAAATCAACGCCGTCCAACGGTGGACGAAAGGGATATGATTATATCGTAGTGGGTGGTGGGACCGCCGGATGTCCGTTGGCTGCCACGTTGTCAAAAAATTACAGTGTTTTGTTATTGGAGAGGGGTGGTGTCCCTTTTGCAAACATAAATATATCCTTGTTGGCAAATTTCCATCTTACCCTTGCGGACGTCTCCCCTAATTCTCCTTCACAGTTTTTTGCATCCACGGATGGAGTTTTGAATGCTAGGGCTAGGGTTTTGGGTGGTGGTACTTCTATCAATGCAGGATTTTACACCAGAGCAAGCACAAGGTACGACTCTCGAAACTTTCTTTACTGTTTTGTATTGTTGACTGATAAATTAGTTGCTAGCTAAAAAACCAGTTGACAAACTGACCACGATATAAACAGGTTGATAATTAGCTATATTTTGCCTATCAAAATATTGCATCGAACTTTAAGGTCTCATTTGGTTTGAAGGAATGGAATTGATTTGGGACGATTTGAATATCAGATTCATTCAAACATATGATTTTAAAATCCTTAGAGAGTGCTCGGGGGATTTCACGGGATTTTATAGGATTGTATGCAATAAGGTTTTGAAAAATGTTAAAGACGTTTGTTTTGTAATAATCGATTAATAAAAATGTAATTCAATTATTTTTGTAATTTTTTCTATAAATTATTTATAAAAGAATGAAATTTCATTTCATTTCAAATCCTACAAACCAAACATACCAATGAATTCAAATCCCTCTACAAATTCCTAAAAAAACAAACGGACCCTAACGGTTATTCATATTCAATTTTAGGGATTTCAATATTAATTAGATTATTAAAATATTTGATATATTTAATAAAATATTATTTATATATATTAAATATTTAATTTCAATGTCTTATATTGTTCTCTCTCTTTTAAATATGGAGTTTTAGAGATTTTCCAAAATTGGAAATTTCCGTCTTTTCTTTTTCCTATTTTAAAAAAGTTGTTGAATATAATATTTAATTAAAAAAGAGACTCGAATATGACTAATGATTTTCTATTTACTTCTTAATAGTTTCGCTAAAAGACAAATCTGAATTGTTAAAAGATGAATCTTGTTTGACAAAATAAAAAGTTTGTCTTTTAATTGTTATAAAACTATGTGAATGATTTTGTATCATGGGCCTCCCTTAATCATTCAGCTTTCTAATTTCATTGTAAACAATTACCAAACAATTATATTTCATTTTACACTATATCATGAGAGTCTTTTAATCATTCTAACCACTTAATCATTCTGTATCAAACAATTGAACAACTGTTAGACAAAAATATTGGTCTAACAGTTATTAGTGATCAGTTGTTGACCACTTAATCATTTTGGCCACTAACAAATACCCACCGTGGAATTGGTTATTTTAAGGTTATTGAGCGCATTTTGGTGTTATTTAGGCTAACAACTGAATTTTGAACTAAAACTTTGTATTATTGTAGTTATGTTAAAAGGGTAGGATGGGATGCAAAATTGTTGAACGAATCGTACTCATGGGTCGAAAAGCGAATTGTTCATGAGCCCGTTTTCGAACCATGGCAAAGAGCGGTTCGAGACGGTCTTTTGGAAGTCGGAGTTTCACCCAACAATGGGTTCACCTATGACCACTTGTATGGTACAAAGATCGGGGGAACGACTTTCGATAGGTTCGGTCGTCGACACACGGCCGCTGAGTTACTAGCCTACGGAAACCCACAAAACCTCGACGTTTTGATTCACGCAAGAGTTCAAAAGATCATATTCGACACCACAGGTACGTTCTTAGCATTTGTAACCATTACATTTCACATTTCATTTCTAATAAATCAAATCAAACGAATTCGGCATATTCCGCTCAGAAACAGAGGTTGAGGTGAAATGTTCGCAAAATTGTCCTCCACTTCAAATAGTAGATCGACTGTTTACGTAAAAACCCCAAATTAGAAACACTTCAATTTTAAATAACCAACATGTTAATAAAACTTTAAGAATAAACTCTAAAAAGAAGTGATTTGACCGAATGCAGGAAAAAAACCGAGGGCGGTCGGAGTACTTTTCAAAGACGAAAACGGGGCCGAACACGAGGCCTTCATCTCGAGGAGGAGAAAGAGTGAGATCGTTGTAACGTCCGGAGCAATAGGGAGCCCGCAACTACTATTGCTTAGTGGAATAGGACCGAAACCCGATCTTGAGAAGTTGAACATTTCGGTGGTGCATGATAACAAGTTTGTCGGGAAACACATGTCTGATAACCCGATGAACTCGATTTACGTCCCATTCAACAGGCCCGTCAAGCAGTCGCTTATTGAAACCGTTGGGATCACGAAAATGGGAGTGTACATTGAAGCAAGCAGCGGTTATGGTCAGTCTCCTGATAGCATTCATCGTCACCATGGAGTCGCCTCGGCTGAGGTCGGTCACAAAACCTAGCAATTTCAGTATTAGGGTAGGTTCATTATAGAAACGTAAATATTTTAAGAATCGTGAGAACCAAATACTCGTTATGAATATTCATGATGAATATAATGAATATCATTATATTTATATGAGTATTCATGTATATTCATTATGAATATTTGGTTCTCACGATCCTCAAAATATTTACAATTATTCCACTTTAGCATTCATTAGGATCGATGATCACGATGAGCACACAGTTGTTAAGATTCTTATTATAAACAGAAGAATCTTGTTCTTTTGTAGTCAACTGATAAACACGTCATTTTGGTTTTGATCAACAGATCGGGCAACTTTCGACGATTCCTCCGAAAAGACGAACAAGAGAAGCCATTGAAGCCTTCAAACGAAACAAGAAAGACCTCCCACATGAAGCGTTTCATGGCGGTTTCATCTTAGGAAAAGTCGCTTTCCCGAAATCAAAAGGGCATTTGAAGTTAATCAACACGAATGCCGATGATAATCCATCCGTTACGTTTAACTACTTTAGCCACCCGGAAGATCTCCGGCGATGCGTGAAAGGGATCCGACTCGTGGAGAAACTCGTGAGATCCGAACCGTTCCTTCAATTCACCAAATGCGACAAAGGAACCGTCGCCAAACTCCTCAACATGAGCGTCACCGCAAACATCAATATGATACCGCGACACACGAACGACACGAAATCACTCAAACAGTTCTGTAAAGACACCGTGATCACCATCTGGCACTACCATGGCGGGTGCCACGTGGGCCAGGTGGTGACCGAAGATTACGTGGTCCGTGGGGTCCACAGACTTCGAGTCATTGATGGCTCCACTTTCCATGAATCCCCAGGGGCCAATCCACAAGCCACCGTAATGATGTTGGGAAGGTAATTTAACGAAATAAATCTTGCATAAACTACTTGTATTTTACGTATAAATAGTTGTATTTGGGTGATAATTTGGTGTGATGCAGGTACATGGGAGTGAAGATTTTAAGAGACAGATTGGGGAGATCGGGCGGATTATGAAATGATTGTAGAAGATTTGAGATGTAAGAGATGCAGAATATTGTTCCCCGTTTGTATCATTATGCGATTTTTTTTGGGCAAAAGTTATACGTAGAAAGCTTACAAGAATACAAAAGTCAAAATTTTGACTTATTGTATTTTTTTTTCCTTTTTTGGTATTTTTTTATTACTATTTTCGTGTATTTTGGATGTTGATGAAATCTTAAAATTTTATTTGAATCCTTAAGTTTTGTAATAATTATAAGATTACTATAAAAATTCTTCGTTTATTGAGTAAAGTGTATAATTTATACTATATTATAAAATATTTTAAAAACTATTTTTATGCATTAAATACTATTTATTGATGCATATTACTTAAAATTTAAAGTAAATTGTGTGTAAATATAATTTATTAAAGATACATGTTTGAATTCGTGTAACTAACTACAGATTAACATAATCAAATAGAGAATAAAAATCTAATTTTTAAATATAAAAAAATCTAAAATATAATTAGAATAATTATCGAGGTCTAACAAAATACTTAATTATTATCTTTATAAAAGATATATTATTAAATAAAAAATTAAAAAAATGAATTAAAAAAATTACACAAAAAGAGAGAAATTTCAAATTGTTAGTTTGGTATTAATATCAACATATTTTTTAAAATTTTTATGATATCTTCATATTTATATTTTATTCAAAAATAAAAACATTATTTTTTTACTCAAAACCACATAAAACCGTATTATAACATCAACTGAGACGGAAAAAAAAAAAAGAAACATTGAAATCGATATGTATCTCGCTACATTTCGCGAGTGCTCTTCTAATATGTACAAATATTATGCGTCTGGGTGTTTGGGTTTCAGTAGAGTCATCGACTCATCTCTTGTTGCAACTTGTTTTGGTAGTCTCGTGTTTTGTTGGTTTGTTTCTGGCTTCGAAAGTTGTTTTGTTTTGAGTTTTTGTTCGGGGGCTGTGTTTTTGGGTTGTTTCTGCTTTTTTCACAAGTTTTATTTATATCATTCTCTGTATCTTTTTGTTCGTTTAATAAATTGTTGGCCTTTTTAAAAAAAACGTACAATATGTTCTTTTAAATACCTCTTGAAAAAAGTATTTTATTTTAAACGTTTAAAATCAACCAAAATACGTTTCACACACTTTTCACTTGTTAAACGGACCACAAACTTAACCCCGTCACATGCTCGATCTCTCTTGGACTCCGATCTATCTGTGTAGAACTACAGCTCCATTAAGTTTTGTCAAAGTGTTTTGATTTTTTGTGACATAAATCAGACACTGAAGAACAGGGTTTTTCTAGGGTTTAAATACATTTGTTCTTTTTGTATCATATGGACATTTTTCCGAAATTGACGTTTTAAGAATCTTAATCTAGTCTTAGAAAAGAGTAGAAAGTTGAGCTTTTGGAAGTTCATGGGAAATAGTAGAAAGTCGGGTCTTGTAAGTTGTAACTGGCTTGTAGGCCTGACCCGTAAGGCCATAACTGGTAGGCTAGAAATAACTCCTTACTAGTCGGGCCCATATCTAATTATCTATCCACCCCGTAACCAATCATGTTTCAGTCAAAACCGATCGTTAAACTGGTAGATCTAGCCAGTTTTTAACACCCGTCTCTATTGGTCGTATTTCATTCTAGTTTTATGAGTTGATATAACTCCCCTTTCTATATGATTAGTTTTTTTTTAAGTATAAAAAACAATGACACATTTCAAAATAAATAGAATCCATGAACCGGAAAAACTAAAACGCAGTATTTTTTTTCGTATAAACAACAAACACTCCGTTTTGTCTATTTGTACAACATCTTTAAGGGTGCGTTTGGTACGCTGGACAGGGTGGGACAGGACAGGACAGAACATATTTGTCCTGTGTTTGGTGTGGCCCAATGTGGAACTAAGTGGAACTAACTTGGATAAACCTTGGACACGCGTGTTCCATCCTACCCCATGGAACTAAGTGGAACACAACCCTATTTCCCTCTTTACCCTTTTCCCACCCGGCTACAATGTTGAAGAACGACCTAACCCTTTTCATCGCTCCATCGTCTCCATCAATTCCTCATGTCGACGGCGAGTTTCAATCGACAGCCGGCGAGTTCCAATCGACGGCCGGCGAGTTCAATCGACGGCCTCCATCGCCTCCATCGTCTCCATCGATTCCTCCTGTCGACGGCGAGTTTCAATCGACGGCCGGCGAGTTCCAATCGACGACCTCCATCGCCTCCATCGCTTCTCTTCTCTCCATACCCAGGTACACAATCGATCTGTGTAGTGAACGATCTGTGAGTAGTGAGCGACATCTCCTTTCGTTCTTGATTCTAGGGTTCTTGTTAATTTCTGTGGGTTTTGATGATGATTAATTTCTTGTTAATTTCTGTGGGTTTTGATTCTAGGGTTCTTGTTGTTATCAACTGTTTAGGGCATTTTAGCTCACTCTTATTCTACTTGACCAACAGCTTAGCCCTGTTAATTTCATTTGCCTTTGACCAACAGCTTTCAATGCAAAATTTGATTTATGCTACTTGATTGATTTATGCTACTTGATTCATTTGCAAATTTGATCGATCCTAGGACCATGTCACAGTCTTCCAAAATTCAGCAACATGTTTGCTGTGTGGACCTTGTAGATATAAATCTTGTTGGAGCAAATGATGCATAACCCATGTTGTACATCCTTCTGTCTCCTAAGTTCAAGTCAGAT